ATATCTTTAGGTTTTGGACATTTTTCACTTATTTTCTGATAACGTGAACCCCTAATTGTTTGTTGCAGCTCTAAAATACTCTTATTTAGGACTTGAAGTAACTATTATCTTCATTACTAATTATTATGCAGAGTTTTTTTTCTCTGTTTATTCTATTAATCACGGTCTAATAGTCTGTAAGCCATCATATTTTAAATGACTTGTTTAGTCTAACCCACACTCCAAAACCCAAATATAGTCAGTTTATCTCATGGAAAACCTTATTCACGTTAGAGAAGCCAAAACAATTGGAATTTTTTGGGGTGGTTGTATTTACTAAATTGTCTGTTAATCTGCCAGGTGACTAATAAATCATTTCATCTCTACAGAGTAAATCAAAATATGTAATGCATCTCAAATTCTAGTATTAATCTTATAATATGAAGCCTTGATTGTACAAATGCAACCATTTGTGAAGCTAGATACATATATACGTTTAGTATACTCCTCCTCCTATCACATCAGAGGAGGTCTACGTGCTGAGACACAGACACACACTGACACACACACACTGACACACACTGACACACACTGACACAGATGTTCTCCGGATTACTAACTACATTTTACACGAATGAACACGTAAAAAAAAAAAACCTGCGTCGACTAAAAGTGAAAGCAGACGCAACAGGCTTCTTGTCTCCCCACTCTCATCCTTGAAGGTCAACACTTTACCGCCCTTCCTGTTGCGTATTTCGACGACAGCCTGAAAAAACGCCACTCTGAATCAAAAATCCCTCCAAAGGGGGAAAACTGTGCAGGTTTTAAATGAAAGGAGACGACGGCACACGAGCCACAGCTAATAACAGCTGCTTTTAATTCGTGGCTAACTAGCTAAGGAAGATGGAAGTTACTTAGCCTTGGCTAGTGCTGTGTAAGTTAGAGCAGCATCACATTCACATTATCATCCCTGTTATTAACATGGTGGATTAGTGATCACAGACACGAGGACAGGGTTGAAGCTGTGTGGTCGATGAGCTCGGGGCTGGTTCTTACCTGCTGATGGCTGTCTGGCTGTGGAGAGAGCAGGTGAGCTGGGTGCTGAGGATGCAGAGTGAGGAAGAGGAGTCTCCTGTTTCACTGCTGCAGCGCAACGTGACCCTTTACAAAACCCTCGAGCCGGGGGCGGAACTGTCGCCACTGCGTCATATGATGGCACCAAGCTGACGCGCATGCGCCGGGAGGTTATCACGGCTCGGAGGAAGTATGCTGCATGATTCTGCATCTTTGCAGAAAACAAGAAAAAGATGTGGAGTTTTTCCATCTGAAAGTGTTTCTGAAGCTTAATTAAAAACAGGTGATTGATTAAACTACAGTGCTAATGACTGATGAAGGTTTTTGTTGCCATTTTTTCTGTGAGAAATCAAACGTCTCAATCCAGTATCCATAGAATAATTACTCAGATATTTATAGATGTGTATGATGGATATATTGCGAATAATGTGCTAATGACTAAGATTTTCATAAGTTGGCCTACACACAGGTTTGCTATTTTTCCTTTGATACAATATCCGCAGAAAAATGACTCAAATTATATCAGACCATGTTGTGAAAAAGAGATGGAAATACCTGAATAGGTGCGGCTACAAGCCTCTGCCTTTATCTGTACTGATTCTCTGACCTGTAGAGATTTTTGTTGGAAAAATTGGTTTAATTTTTCACAGCTCCTGAGCAGTAAATTAAGTAGGACCCAGTACTTTTGCTGGAGGGGACAGAGTTGAGTACTGGTTGACCACATATTGTGTAGGTCATCTAATGTAAAAGACACTGGGTTTTAGTATTGATGCTTCTCTCTTTGTAGCCCACGTTGGAGATGCCGATGCCTAAAGGTTTGTGCAGTGACATCTGCCTCCTGATTATGTTCCTCTACTAACAGATCTTTTCATGAACAGTCAACCATCTGCCCTCTGTGGAAGAAATGACTTACATCTTTCAATTAGACATGACAAGAGTGAAAAATACTGGATGAAATGGTCTTGTTACTGTCAGGAAACTCTTGTTTTTCTTTCAAGGTGCACCAGCAAACATTCGGGTGATGACCTCATCGTAGTCCTCCTCCTTTTGTTCTGCAGCTCAAGTTCTCTGTTAATTTTAAAATGCTATAAAATAAAACTTTTTAAAAGAAAGTATGTGTGTTAATATAACAGACTGCACCTTCAGTTGTTTGATAGACTGCTCTGCTGAAATATAACTACTATGGATAATATCAGTGGTAGTATTTAGATTATTTACGTAAGTAAAAGTAGCAATATCATAGTGTAATACAAGTAAAACCATTTAAAATGTCACTTTACTAGTTTACTAGTATAATGAACTAAATATACTTCAGTACAGCAGGCAAAATGGCCATTTTTATAATATTGGATTAATATTGGACTAATTTTAACAATTTTATACATAGACCTATTGTTGGATATAATGTATATAGCCTACTGATTATAGGATTTTTAAAATATTAATATGTCAAGTATCTAGTAGCCATTGATGTCAAATAAATGTAGTGGAATGTCATAAAATGGGCACAAGTACCTCAAAACTGTAACACATGTAATATCCACTGCTGTACACTGTAGAAAATGTAGTTTTTTAACCATGATATGTTCCTGCCAATGTGTCATAGCTGTCGGTAAAAGTGAAGCAATGATGAATTTCTCATCTCACAAACACAAAACATCAAAATTGTCAGATTGCTGTACAGTAATAGTTTAATATAACATCTGTGCTACATGGTAATTACAAAAATACATTGTAACATAACATATAACATCCAATAGCATCCAAAATATTCATATAAACTTTATAAAGAGGTTTATAGTTAAGAAAAAAAGTAAGCTCAGGATGACACATGTGAGGCATTCTGGGTACACATTAGGTCATACTTTACAAAATCATAATATAAACTGATGATCAGGTAAGTGCATGAGGGTGTGATTACTGGCTAGGGTTACGGCAGCCATGGACAATAGAAAAAGCCCTGTTTCTATCAAAATGTTAACTGGAGGTAAACTGTACTTTTTGTTCGTTCAGCCTTAAAGTCCCAGCTCGGATCAGTACAGCTGGGTGTCATCTCGGAGTCAAAATCAATGCTGATTTGAGAAAACCAGCGAGTGCTCCCCTGAGTTGCAGGTAATAAATGATTCAAACTGAAGCAGACGTTGAAGGCGTACACGTCTTAATGTGATGTTGTGACGCTCACGTGACTTTTACACAGTTTAGAGACGTTTCTGCTGCTAAACAATTTAGGCAGTCAAGTGTGGGAAAGGTTATGTCACAGCATTAATAACAGTACTGAACAGGTTTTATAGTAGAGATTCACATGAGGCAAGGAGTTTCTTTTTACTTCTGCCAACACGGTTTCATAATCATACATAAAAAATCAAGGCAGAAGTTCAGAAATATACTCGTTTTGTTGAAGGGGTTTGGTTGGATTCCTACTTAACTACATATAACTTGTTGTAGAAAAAAAAAATCAGTGCATTGTCTTCAACCAGCATGACTTTTCCATGTGGGGTGAATCTGATAGCAGTCGAACATTAGGTAATAACAGGGCAGACATGACCAGTCGCTGGAAAGTTGAAAGTAGATGGACAATAGTGCAATCTTTCTTGCACAACTGTTGAGCAAATACAGTAGGCTTGAAAAGGTGCTCATTGGAGAAAGGCAAACAAGTAACAAAAAGAAAACAATAGTGCCCAGCACAACACAAAAAACCCCCATAAAACTCACCAAGACAAGTGGGGAAGTGGTGATCTTTACACATTCCCTTCTAAACTATAGATCTAAATAAATCATCATTAGCTATTTAGGCTTTTACTAAATAAGACATTTTAGAAGGCGTACCACACCTGTGTGTAAGGGTGAACAAGTGTGCAGCAATACATACATGTAGGCCTTTACCTTTAGTGTGTTAATAACCATACTGTAAACTCAGAGTCCGTCACACAAACACTTCCCTGCGTGGGCCTTTTTCCTGAGCAGGCTGCAGTGGGAATACCGGGCCGGGCATTGGTGCAGCTGTGTGAGTTTGTGTGCCGGCGTCCAGGTGTGTGTCTGGCGTGGCGGGAGGGCTGAGGAACGAGTCGTAGTCGAAGCCTTTGAGAGGCTGCAGAGACAAAGTGAGGCCGCGTCGAGCTTTGGCGGCTCGGTCTGGTCTCTCTCTCAGCTCCAGAATCACCTGGACAGGGACGAGTAAAAATCACTTTGCTTTGCTTTGCATATTGAACGTTTCTTCCAACAGTCTGGACAACAACACTGGCTACATCCAGACATTCATCAGTTACCTCCACGGGCTGGCGCTGCAGCAAGGTGAGGTCAAAAGTTGTTCCATGGAAGAAGGTTTGGCGTTTGAAACGCTCGAGGGTCCTCAGGCGGCGGGTGGGGGTCTTGCACAAAAGCTGGACAAGGAAATGTGTGTAGGTCATAATATGACAACTGAACATAGCAGTTAGGAGATACCAATGCATGTAGATGTGTGTAGGTTTGAATGTTTTGTAGCAACATGATTAAACTTGGTGTAATTACCTCGGTTATTAGCAAGGCCAGTGGGGGGCTGAAGCTGAGGGGCATTTCATAGGGAAAACTCCTCACTTTCCTCAGCATACTGCAGTGGTCTGATTCTGGAGGCAAGGGGAACTGAGGAGAGTTTGAGGTACATAAAATACAGGGTCTTTCAAAAGCCAGATTTTCAGAGTTTTATATAAGAATACATTTAGATTATTACATTTTAAATGTTTTCTCACAACTTACACATACCCTGTAATTCAACAAATATCTCAAATGAGCTCCTGAGTAATGCATCTAAAAGCATTTCACACTATTTCCTTTTACAGAACTACGTCACTGGGTAACTGTGAGTAATATCTGCTTATCATGCAAGACACTGAGCACAAGACCTCACCTTCCCAGTAACCAATGAGAAAAGCAGAATTCCCAGTGACCACCAATCAGCAGCATGGTTGTACGGTCCGCCACTCAGCACCTCTGGGGCTGCAGAGGAGACAGAGCACGCTCACAGCACTGGATGTACTATATATTTGTACATTACTATATTGACTTTATAATAGATTAAAATAATGCACAAATATGAGTCATTCGCAGAGCAGTAATGTGGTGGGATTAGCTACAGAAGTGGATGTGACGGAGTATTTTTTACCCATATATTGGATGGTTCCACAGATGGTAAAAGCTCTTCCTCCTCTCTCCAGGCGACGGGACAAACCAAAGTCAGCTAAGCGGAGGTGTCCTAGAACAGACCATTTTCTCTACATCATTATGCGCACGTGATGTGCGACATGGGTTACAACTGGTGTTAAATATTTATTAATATTCACATCTTCATCTGATCTTATTAGTGAATGTAATTGGATACGAAGGCTGTTCCCTCTCAGCGAACAGATGTACTGTTTGCATTAATGTGTATTGACTGAAAGCTGTGCAGGGTCAGGATGTTCTCTGGAAGGTTCTCCTCCTGCATACCAGAGCTATGCTGCTCTCTGCTGGTGTTTACTCACCGTTGTCTGTCAGCAGGATATTCTCCATCTACAAAAAAATGTGCCAAAATGACTGAATTAGACACCCATTCATTTTTAACAATGTACTTTATGAACTATATCAAGAAAAATAATCTTGTCACACATTTTATTTTTTATTTAAACACAAGTTTGGATATTTTAGTAGTCCAAAAAAGAAAAGTCATAAAACGTGATCTGCAGCCTGTAACCTTTACAACCAAAACTGAACTAGAAAAAAACTCTAAATTATAAAGCATTCAGTCTGTTAAGTTAGTTAAATTATCCTTTATTGATGCATGCAGACAAATTCATTCTCTGCATTTGACCAAATGTAGCCTTTTTACTGGGAACCACACAGTTTATTGTTTAGTAAGTTAAAAACATAGACTTTTTCAAACATTGACAATGCACATGGAGACTGCTGAGTTGGGTGTTCACATATGAACCATATAAGCAGGGCAGTGCTTGGTGCAAAACTGATTTGGCACTGTGCTTAGACACTTAAACACGTGTTAGCTGAAATTATGCTGATGTACATTCTGCTATGATTCCTATTTTGCATTTGGTTTTGAATGTTTTGTTACATATTTTATGTTTCACATTTAGAGGTGTCTTGAAATCTCATGTTAATCTTACTTAACTTCTTATTAATTAAAGACTGATACCTATAATCTTGTTTTTAAAAGAAATGCTTTTGTTTTGCATTTTTGAATAAACCAATGGTCCCAAACTTGTGAATTACCTCCCTCTCTTACCTTTACATCTCTGTGGATGATCCCAAAGTCATGCAGAAAGCCTGAATAAAAAGAAAGAACAAAAGTACAAAACTCAACAAGAAAACATTTCAAATCCAACACTCCTATATTAAAAAATCATGACACTGCTTTGTTGCTGTAGAAGATCCTTTGAGAGCTCATGTCCTTTTAATTTGACCTCTTTTTATAATTACTTTCGGTTGAATACTGTTAGCTCAGGAAACTTTCTCGCAGACATCTATGATCTAATTAAGACATATGAGAAGAAAGGCGCATGTGTATATTATGTGAGTAGGTTAAACCATTTATGTTAATATCCTTAGTATTGTGTAGCATACTCACCGAGCGCACTTCCCAGCTCGGCTGCAAACACTCGTACTGTGTCCTCTGTGAACTGACCAATCATCTGCCAGTAGGTGTACAGGTCCCCTGTGCTGCAGTAGTCACACACTGCAGGAGTAGAGACAGCATTAAAACATGCCTCATTCATGTAATGTAATGTAGGTGTGAGGGGAAGTGGAGGTCAGCGGGATGTGGAACACACACTGGTGAAAGAAATTAGGAAAGAGGAGTGCGATCTGGAAGTGAGGATAGTGTAGAACTACTGTATCTACAAACAATGTTTTTAGTCTGCCAAGCTCACAGTTTAAAAGAAAAGTAGGTTGGGGTGCGGAGGTGAAAAGGTGTGTGTGTGTCTGGAATAAAGGATCTTCCCTCTCTACTTGGAGACAGTAATCATTATTTGTTTGGTGGCATCGGCAACAAAAGAAGAAAGGAAGCGTTTGGCCTTGACATTGCTGACTAAGCTGTGATACAACAGAGATGCATCATTGTGTAAAGTTTTCAGTCAACTATCATTTTCTGCAGATGAAGGCCTCAAGCAGCTGCCCTCTAGAATACAGGAGGCCGGCTTTATATAGTTTTGATTTGCTCCAAATGTGCCCCATGTCTACATTTGTAGCTTAATGATTCAGTGATGATTCACCGTTAGGCAAGCAGGGGCATCTCTTTTAACGTGACACGTGTGTTCTTGTTGAGCTGCAGTAGCGTTCAACATCTGGTCCCCGGGCTAACATGCTCTCTTTTCACAGGGGGTGGGGAAGCAAACAAACTGGGTCACACTTTCTGAGTCAGCGGCTGATTTGGAAAAAAAAGGGTAACTGCTCTGGAGGAGTGGAAAAAGGGGGCAAAGCAGATACAGGATACACAGGAAGTGGTAGATTGGGGATGCTGGGTAATAGGGATTGAAGTTTAAGTCTCAAGGCAAAACCAGATCAAAAAAAGACTTAATTGGAATCTATTTGTCTTTTGTTTATCATGTTCTAGGTGTTGGGTTGGGGTTTGTGGGTAGATTCTGCACAAGACTACCAGTGTTGAGGTGAGAAAAGGTGGAGTGAGGGGGGGTTTGGGTAGTGGATCTGGGTCGAACTGGGTCACTGGTCTCTGGCTGACTCACTAATGTAGAGGTGGCGCTGAGTCTGCCAGCAGTCCTCGAGGTCATGGACAAATGGATGGTGAACCTGACGCTGTGGGCAAAGGTTCAAGATCAACCTTAAAAATCTCGATTTTGGCCATCGATCAAAGAGAGGGTCACACTTTTTTCTTCACTGGGTCAAACTAGTATTTTTAACTGACGACTTGGCGGTGAGATTAAAAGACTCAAAATTGTCATTTTTGGAAGAAATGGTAGCATATCACCTCCTCAGTCTCATTACAGCGTGCCCCACAACATATCACAAGAGGTCTGAATCCAGTCACAGCATAAGCTTCTGTCAGCTATTTATCAACAACACATCATCTGCATACATAAATATATTGTGTTCATTTTCAGTTTTTATACATTAAATATTTGAATTAGATATGATCTGTGCAAATGGTTCAAGACTGATTGCAAAAAGAAAAACAGTTAAAGGGAAACCTCAATGTGCTCCTCTCTGTGATGCTGAAAAAAGTACTGACATATATCCATTTATCTTGACATTTGTGTGATAAGTTGTGTATAAAATGTCATTGCTTTTTCTTTTGACCTAACATTCGGATCCTTATTTTGCTTTCACATATCCACTGTAAGGTTTTTTAAGCATGCAAATGATTAATAATTGAATGGAAAGAAAAATGTATTCTAAAATCTAAAAACAATGATTTTTAAGGCCTGTTCTCAGTACCCACCTGGACAATAACTTCTTCTTTTGACTGCTCCAAGACCCCAAGTCTTAGAATCTCTGATTTAGGGATAACCTGTGGGCCAACACAAAATACAGAGATGAAATAACACTACACAGGACTCACAACAATCTGGTGTGTGTGTGTGTGTGTATGTTAAAAGCTTCAGTGACTACAGTTAAAAGTCCTGACATCAATGGTCATAATTTTGACCATTAAAAAGTACTTTTTAGTCAATTTCAAGGAATCATGGGCTTTAAAAATATCTTGCCAGCATAAAACATTCTGTATTTCTTTTACTTTAAAACTTTACAGGCCTACAAATAGTCTCAACTCAATAAACTGTCTGATCAATTATTGTATTCGATCAGTCAAATAGAGTTAAAATGTGAGATTCGGGCAGAAACTCACTTTGACAGCGTAGGTTTTCTGTTTGGCCTTGTCCTTCACTTTCAGAATTGGTCCAAATGAACCTTTGGCGATGTAACTCAACACCTGGTGGAGTGAAAACAGACATAGACAGAGAAAGAAAACATCAGACAGGTCAAGTGGAAAGGTAGCAATAGTACAAGTAATACATTATCCAATCACATCAAGCCTTACACATTATTGGTGTCTATGTTGAACTGAGGTCTACCTGAAAGTGTTCGTGCCCAGGCATAGTTTTGTGGGGGAATTCAGGCAGGAACATGGCAATGAACCCCGGCAGGCTCCACTCCGATCTCAGCTTATCTGGCCCGACTCCTGCCAACCTCAGGACGTGCTCTGGGATGTCGGGGGTCTTGCCTTGGAGCATTCGACGCTGGCCCAGACGCATGGCAGGTGGGGCCAGGCGACAGAGGCTTGCTGGGATAGACAGGCGCATGCTGGAGAGTAAGCCACGCCATCCAGATGAGAAGTCCTCATCCTCCGGTGCTTCAGCAGACCTCTATAGCAGACATGGGGGGGATGCAGTTATGGCACAGGTTAATAGGTGGTGATAGATGGTTATTACTATGAATGATTATGGATCATATTGTTGAATATGCTTTCTGGGAAGACATTTGAAAAAAATCTAACTACCAAGATCTTTAAGGACCTCACTGAAGTTTCTGCATGTTTTAGCCAACTCCTAAATCTCAAATCAACAAACTTTGAATCCAGGGACTGTTCACTGGAGTTCTTGCTGTTTTACGCAAGAACGAGTATCAACACTTGCATCACATCAATGCAGGCGTGCAATGCTAAAAGCAACCTTCTTTTACTTGACCTTTTGGGAGTTCATAGCCCAGAAACCCATGAGCAAACAGGCCTGGTATGAGCGATGGAGGACAAAGGGAGACTTTTAAATATATGTGTATATTCACTATTTAACCAGACAAAGTTGCCTAAGCATTGCTTAAATACACACACAGGGGAGCTGCTCAGTGCAAACACCTCCTCTGCTGTTGGATTACAGCCTCTTTCCCACTCTGTAGCTCCACTTGAGCAATTGGACATATTCTGATAAAGGCTTTCTAAATCAACCTGCTTTGTCCAAATCTATTTCAGTCACTGATTTCCTTCACTTTTCAGAATCGCCTGTGACTGCAAGACCTATATAGGGGCAACTACAAGCAGAAAATATTTTTTACTGCAAAATGGTAAGTCTCACTTAAACCGTAGGTAGGAGAGGTCAGTGTATTCTGGTCCTGTAGTCCCAGAACATCACACTTTCCCATCTGCCAACAGATTACTTTTACTTAACCATTCCTGTGATTTAACAAGAGGAAACCACTGGGTCTACAACCAATCTGCAGCCACTGGGTCACACAACCCTTTCTCCCCCTCTTCTTCCCCCTGGGCTGCACAACAGATCTGATGCTCTGTGGTGCAAGATGTGTGTAATCAACCATGTAGGATGTTATTATCATCTGAGTCAAATGAAGGAACACATCTACAGCCACTCAGCAAGAAATAACTGCCATCAATGCGACATCCGCCCGCTCTTTGACAAGACACTGAGCAACGTGAGGATGCAGGAACATGTTGTGTTATAAGGTGTTCATTAGAGTTTATATGTAGCGGAAGCGTGTCGATTTCGCCTTCAAAGTAAAAGCGTCAAGATTACAGGTACTTTGGAAGACAGATGAATATATTTTAAAGACATTGCATCGCGTGTAATATTAATTAAATACTAATTTATCATTAAATTTGCACTTTGGTGACACTTAAATTAGATTGCAGCAAAAGAAAACGCTAAAACATTGCCATCCATGATTGGTACTGTCGTTCTTACAGTCTGGAGATTTGGGGAGCCAAATCATCGCCATGGAAACTGGAAACTGGAAACTGGGAAACCCCCCCCCCACCAGCGTGCGTCACTCCATAGCAACCAGGAATTTCACTCAACTCACCTTCCTGGTTTTACTGCCGTCGGCTCCCATCAGTGTGACAGGACATCAGCACTGTAAGCTCAGGGCGACACCTGCTCCTCATCCAGGCACTTCACGGTAGCCTACCCACAGTTTCATGCGCAGCACACAAGGACCGATTCAAGGTTTTAAGAAGCTAAATAACACTCTGTAGCAGCAATCTGCAGCTGATCGGGGCATCCGGTGCAAAATGTGATAGATATGGCGACATGAAAACAAGTTAATCCCGAGAACGTCAGCGCAAATCCGCCCACAGCTTTGGCATCCAATGAGACTGCAACCTGGTGGAGTTGAGCTCCCCCTGCTGCTCTCTGCACTTACCGCTGCAGACATCAACCCCACTAATCACTTGACTATTTCTACTGTCGTTTGCATGTGCCTCAGAGCGTGTTTTTTTTTTTTTTTTTAAGTTTGCAGGGGACAAGTAAATGCACGCATCGATACAATTGTGAATGCATTATATAGCGCATTGTATGGCGCACTGTGACACATCTTCAAATCGACTTCTCTGTTCAATTCTTGTTCTAAAAATAAACCAGTGCATGCATAATTTCTGCTGCTTCATCACGACGTTGAGAGCAACCCCCCAGGGCAGCATCAAAGGTTAATTCAAGCATGTTTGTAGCATAAGCAAGGAGCCCTGCATGGTGCTGATGGATGAGCTTTCAAGGGGAGGGTCTGGGCCATGATGGCACGAATCACATCCCAACTTTATTTTTTTTCTTCATTTTTTTCTTGTTGAATGGTTAGAAATCTCATTTTGTCATCAACAGATTAAAAAATGAGTTGCACAAGAAGGAACAACAAAATCCAAGACATGGTGACAGCGCAAGTGCCTTTTATTTGGGACCAACACAAAAAGCGAACAGTGCCATCCATACATTTGACTTTCACATATTACTTTGACAATCAATGTGTGGTCATTTCTACAAAATAAACCAAACTGTTGAGCTTTAAATAAACAAGCAGAAAAAGGTTTTGTGAATCCATGTGGGAGCATTCAGGGTTATAGGAGCATCAGCTGGACGGCTTCAGATTCAGTCATCCTCATCGAAGTCCTTCCTGCCCTGGGGAGGTTTTGGTCCCCCTGCTGGTTTGGCCATGATGATCTGAAAGGATGAAAAGACAGCAGTCAGTCACTTTCTGACTTAAAATAAAAAAGGACTGAGATCCACGCTCTGAGGCAGCAACATACCTGTGAGACGGTAACAAGTTAGCATTGGAAAAAAAATGCTCCCTCAATGCCAATAACCAAACTGTGGCTACAATTGATTCTTTGCTAAAACTGTTGTGCTCAGATAATGACTATGGCCTCCATTTTCAAAGTAAAATAAGTGATTTAATAGATCCTAAGGAGAGCAATTTATGGTGATTAATGATTATATATTATAAATAAATGAAATGGCCTTTAAAGAAAGCTCTGATCCAGTTATTTTCAATGCTGGGATTAACCACAGCATTTCCGGCACTCTGTACATTTAACAGAGTTATGAGTCTAACCTTCAGATTTACTGTAATAGTAAAAATAAAGGGAACCGACAGTGGAAGCCCTAGTGGAGTGATGAAACACAATTTCCACAAGGAATGGCCTCATCTGGGATTTTCTTGAAGGTGGTGTAGATATTCTCACACTGTACTAGTAACTGAGGAAGTGGGCTGAGATCTTGAGACTCTTTCTTTCAGATAAATTAAAATGGCTTCATAGTGATCAGTACATCTTACTGGGAAAAATTCCCCTTCAGACAACAAAACCACTTTCAGTCTCTGAAGCTGTGCATCTCATCTACATATTCCCTTTTTATTCAATCATGTTACATGCAACATTTTTAAATTCTGCACTTGCCTGAGGACGTTCACTGAAATGAGAAGAGGTCATGAGTGCATGCAGCATGCTGTCAAACCATACTCTATCCGTTTTGTGCAAGTTTAGACTTTAAGTGATTTAGTCCGCTGTCAGTGACACACCTGGTATTACTCAAACACCTGAGAAGTTGCTGAATCTGCTGCAGCTATAAAGAAAATGCCTCTGCAGTGAGTTCTGTATCACACCCAGTGTTAGTAGTGACAGGCAAGAGAACAAACAGTTCAGACAACTCCAGTGTCCCGTGAGCGAGTGAGTACATCCGAGTGAGTAAAAAAAACACACGCTCATTCCAGGACCTACTGACAGAGGGTGTATGTGAGCGCCCTCTAATGGTGGGAATCAAAATGATCAGGCTCTTCTTCCCAGCTGTCCTTGTCCCAGTGGCCTCTCTGCTTGGGAGCCCTGGGTCCCCCTGCAGCCTTAGCCATGATGATCTGCATATATACACACACTCTAACGTTAACTACCTGAAGACTACTGATTCACAAAGGCCCTCCCAATAACACTTCACCTGTTGAATTTCAGAAGAACGTTAGAGAGGAACATAGGAAAATGTAAAAGCCGGATCCTTCGCTAAGAAAGAAATGTATAAATAAATAAAACCCTGGAATGTAGACACGACTCCAGGGTCCTCACCAGTTTGGTGTGTTGCACCTGTATCTGTTTCACATCACTGATAAAGACAGGGCCTGACATGTTTTGTAACTTTGTTTGACAGTTAAAATCCTTATAGTGAAAAACCCTCAAGGTAAATAAAAATACACGGTTAAATTATTTAATTTAATAATAGCAAAATGCCAATGATCATCAGATTGATTAGCACTATGTGACAATATTCTATATTTATTATTGTCAACAAATGCCATGAAAAGACCCAAAACAACATTGATCTTATTAACAGGTGTTGCCTGATATAGGTCATACCTCTGTACCTCCACATTGTCCAAAAAGTATTTAAAAACATCAATATAGCTGCACTGGGTGACATGTTCCTTGTTATAATGAACATGGACAATGTACCCTATTTTCAAAAAACACTAAATATTTATTTATCTGTGGCTGAAAAGACAAATGCACTGTAAACTTCTGTTTGTGGCATGTTAGCTTAAAACTGCCCAGCTGTTTAAAGAAATTACTTAGTCATTGAAATAAATGAAAAGAAATTTAAAGACTTGCGTGTCCATTAGAAATGAATGGGCTTTGGGTTGAGGTCCACAGAACGCATTGTTGTTTTGGTCTTTTTTTAAAAATAAAATTCTATAAAAATCTTGGCTGCTCTTGTTGATCCGTGTGTCCTAAGTATTTGTGTGATTGTTTGTGTACACACCTGGTCGACCCTCAGCACTGTGATGGCAGCGTTGGTGGCCAGTTTGATGCCCCAGTGTTTGACCAGGTAAGGCTCCACAATGCCACATTCAAGCATGTCCTTCAGAACGGGGCCGTCACCCTGAAAACAACATCACATCCACGCAATCAGTCATCAGAACCAGACGAACACAGGAACAAGTAGCTTGACATATCCAGAAATAAATGCAATGGGGTGCTCCGCATTCAGGAAAACTGAGAGGTAGCATGAACTGTTCTACTAGCATCTGTTTTTGAAGTGTGGTAGCCACAAGCTAAATGTGTTTCATTAAGCATAATAACAGGCTACATTTTTGAACGCCATAATGGACTCTTAACCTCACCTAATGCCTCAGTAATATTACATGACAGATGTTTGGCTATTAGCCATTTCCTTTTCCATTTAGCAGACTGAAATTCATATTGAGTTAATAACAGGACTACCATGGGCTGGATTTTTAAGACAATATTACTTCATAAAATCAAGTATTAGTTATTTTCATGTACACATACACACCTCAATGTCGAAGCCCATGTTTTTGTTTCCCTCGTGATGTGCAGAGTACAGCTTAGAGATGAGCTCACTCCCCTTCACACCAGAGTTCTCAGCGAGCGCACGTGGCAAGGACTCAAAGGCTTCAGCGAACTTTTTAATGGCGTACTGGTCCAGACCCGGGCAGGACTACAAAGAAAAAGAGAAGGCATGTTTCTGCAATTTATCAGAGAAAAAGGGGCAAAACCAAGGCAGGCTGAGGTCTGAACCTGGTACACTTCCACTTATACTCAAATCTGCATACCTCTCCATATGAGGTGAGCTGTTTGGCCAGTTCAATCTCAGTGGCTCCTGCTCCAGGTATCAGTCGTTTGTCCTAGAGATAAAGAAAACAGATAAATGACACAGAAACTGTAGCTGTTGTGCAGGCCAAACAGTAAATGGAGTAGACTTCTTGCAGTGGCTCATTTTGTTGACTTACCCTGACCAGGACCTTGAAGGTGTTGACTCCATCATCTACAGCCCTCTCAATGTCGTCCATGAGGTTGTCAGTGGAGCCTCTGATCACCACCGTTGAGATGGCACCGTCCTCTCTCTCTGTTAAAAACAATCAAGACCAAACAATACATTAAGGCTCAAACTCATATGAAGCAAAGATCCGGTTTTAAAACAAAGTCTTGCAAGACTAGATCAAAGAGGGATTTACCATGTTTGAAGACCACCACCTGAGTGTCTCCCACCTCTGTCAGGTACACGCTGTCACAGTGACCCATCTCATCTGGAGTCGGAGGAGTCTAAGAAAGCACAAAAGCATTATTATATAAGATATAATGGTCTGTGTGATTATGGCTAAAATACCTGAACCAAACATCACAACACTCACCATCCTGGGCAGTGCTACAGCTCCCAAAGTCTTGCATAACCTCCTGAGGTCCCACTTGGAGTTAAGCCTGATGGGGGAAAACAGAGGATTTAGGGCTGTGACGTACACAGAGATAAAAGGCATACTCCCTTGAATACTACATTAATAAGACTTTATCAATCAGGTAGATTTTCTTAATAGTAGTAATCATGAATTCATGAGGTTACAATCTTTGATGTTGCAAAGAATGCATGGCGACAACCAAAACATACTGATGACAACAATGATAATAGTCCTAGAATGACAATTTATAACGAGAAAAGACTTAAAACATCACACTTTTGACACACAGTTGATTTCAACTAAAAATTATAATTACATTTTCCGCAGCATTGCCTGACCAAAGCCAAATTACTGTATGCGTTCCACATACTGAGCTCTCTCTCTATTCCATTTCATTGTGTAAAACCTGCACATCTACTACGCTAACCTGAGCTAATATCAGTAACAGAGGATGGAGGTATTAGTTTAGGTCCCTTTGCAACAACAGTGCCAGTACCACTGGAAACTGTCATGCCCATTTGAGTTCAAACTATGTGCCTTTAGTAAAAGAAACTTAAACTGAAGCTGCAAGCAGCGATGAACGGGCCCTCGCACTCCACGCAACTCAGGGTGTGCTGC